TGTACTGTACTCTGAATAATGGACAAGTGTGGAAACAAAAGCCCGGCTGCGTGCGATAGGCTTAGGTTGCCTGGGTCGAGAGCTTGCATAACGAGGCCCCACTTTAATGAACCCGTTGGTTCTGTTTATTCAGGGTCCTTCAAAAATGATCAATTATTGCACCCCTCGAACTCAGGGCCATCTGCGGAGGCAGCAGGGGCTCAGCTCATCCAGCATGAGAACATAAGAGGGTACAGAACAAGGACAGGCCACTCAGCATGCCTGTGTCTGTGCACGGTTTTCCCTCTTCTCTTCCACACACGCTCTGGGCTGGAAATGAAAACCCTGACGGATCTGAGAGTAACATGCTCATGAGATTCCGTTTATCTCTGTCTTGTCCCAAACCCTGTGAACGGGGTGGAGAGGAGGAAGGCAGACAGGCCACTTCATTCATAGTCAGATCATGAAGAGGGGAGACACTTGAGAGCAGCCGGTCATGGCTAACTTGCAGGGTGCGGGGTTGTGGGAGGAAACTGAAGTACTAAAAAAACCACGTGAACAAGAGGAGAACATGCAAACTCCACACAGACAAGAGCCCGAAGAGCAGCATTAATCCCAGGACTCTGGCTGGAGATGTGAGGCAGCAGCAGTGACAGCCACACTGCAGTGCTGCCTGCAAATACTGAATCCAAACAGGCCAGAAAGGTCTAATTGTCAGGAAACCAATACGTGGAATAGGAGGATCCTTATGCGTGACCGGAATCCCACAGGACACAGAGTAGCAAAGGGACAATCCAAAAGACAAAATCCAAAGGCAGGGTCGATAAGGGAGGCAAAGGGTCCAGTAACAATTCAAAAGGCAAAATCCAGAAGGCGAGGTCAAGAAGCAGAAGCAGAAGCAGAAGCAGAAGCTTCATAACGGGAGATCAGTCAAAAAGGTTAGGAAACGCACACTGGAGAATACTAAGATAGGCTTCTCAATAGTGAGCGTGGGAAGGTGTGCGAAGGGGGGTTTAAATACTGAAAGGAAAGGGGTGTGATTGGATGATTGGTTAGGGAGTGAGAATTTGAGGAATCTGATGCATGTGAGAATGTGCTGGGTTCAATCAGGGATGAGATTGGGAAGCAGAGGTTCCGGGAATGTAACGTCGTTTGCGAGGGAGAGTGTGGGGCGTGACACTAATGACCTGTCAGTTCTAACCTATGTTCTGACAAGGGGTGAAGGAGGGGGAGAAAGGAATGCATCATTTATTAGATTAATTTAGTCCAACAGTGCCCAGCTCCATTCCTCAAGGGCTGCTGTCCAGCAGGTGTGACAGATCTCCAGCTTCTCAAGAACAGGAAAAGCTTCAGATCGTCCAGTTAAACAAATGAGTTCAGTCAGGAAACTAAGAGCTTGGGTGGAACTAAAACCAGGAACCTTCTGGCCCTCCAGGACTGGAGTTGTGCCCCACAGATTTAAGCGTGACAGTAGGAAGAAACGCATACAAAGGGGAATTAACCTCAGGGGCCTGGTACCCACAGGTCAGCACCACCCTGCAGCGTGCGTGAGCAGGCACTTCAAGCTCAGAGAAGTGGCAGGCAGCATCATCATCACGTCTGCAGCAATCTTGCGACGCACTTAGCAAAAAACTAGAGACAAAAGGCAACCGCAGTCTCTTTATTACAAGGCTGAGGTCTGTCCCAGAAATCCCAGATCTTCTGGCCCCGAATCCCCAAATTAGCAGCGTTGACGCCCACTCCCATCCCAGCGGCACCTGCGACAGCCGCCCTCGCTTCTCTCGGCCCATCAGGTCGCTCTTTATCTTGTTGCTTTCCTGACAGATTGCCAACCTGGGAACCAGGAATCAATGGAATTGTGCTCCAGGGGAGCATAATTAATGTGGGAACCGGGGACTGGGTGAGCTAGTTAGAATCTTTAAAAAAGCAACACCTCATCTAGGAAATCCCTTGATTCCTTTTACACTGATTTCTGTCCACAAGGTGCTTGTGTCTGCATTGTACTCGGAGCGCTGTCACTCTGAGTAAAAAGCAGACACACACACTGCTGTGCAAAAATTTTAGTCAGGAATTGTATGTATGTTGTAGCCAACGTATGTAAAATACAGCATGTAAGTCATATATGGAATATATAAGTGGTAATAGTGGGGCCAGCAGGGGGCGCCCACCCTGCGGTCTGTATGGGTCCTAATACCCCAGTACAGTGACGAGGCTCCGTCCTTCGGATGAGACATAAAACCGAGGTCCTGACTCTCTGTGGTCATTAAAAATCCTGGGTCGTTTCTCGAAAAGAGTAGAGTGGCCATATTTCCCCCTGGCCTTTACCAATCGCGGCCTCCTAACAATCCCCATCGCTGAACTGGCTTCATCACTCTGCT